CCCCAAAACCCCAAAACCCCAAAACCCCATTCTTCTTGAATAATGCACAATAAATTATTGCAATAAATAATTAATAAAATTTTAATGGACATTGAAGAAATACTTATATACTTAAATTTAGGATAATATCTTATAACAATACTGTTCTTTATAGTTGTTATGAGCTGCATCTGTAAAATGGCATTTTCAACTCCACAAGTCATCAAAAATTTTTAAAAAGCAATTTCTGAAGATGATTTACCAGAGTTATGTAAGAAATTTTCACTTTTGTGAGTCAATTTTTCTTAGATAAGATTTTAATGGACGAAAGATAAAGATTGCTTCTGATCAATCTGAGAGACATTATACAAAAGAATCTGGTATCGATTCAGTCTAGAGATGAGGAGGAAAAATTGAATGCAAAAATGGACGATTTTTTCAGGCGCGGGGCAGAGACTAAATATTTGACTTAACATTAGATTGAGAAACTTACACTGCAAGTCAAAGTATTGGCTTAGTTTGAATACTGCAAGAATGAGCAAATTTTTAAAACATTCGTCTCCTACACAAAAGATGTAAGTCGTAGCTTATCTGAATTTGATAAATCTATAATAACTTATTATATTAGGATAATGAGCACGAATCAGATTTAATGAACCTTTGGAATATTCTTTAGCCTGGCAGAATTATCAAGTCAAGACTTTCAAATGAATGGCAAGAAATCGGTTTCTAAGGAAGCGACCCGGCCACAGATTTTCGTGGAGCAGGTCGCCATGGATTGACTCAATTAATGATGATTTGCCATCCAGATTCAATCTACTACGAAAGAGCGATGGCAATGTACAAAGATAGCACCAATATGCAGCATTGGTACTTCTTTTCTGTCACAGGTTTGAACATTACTTAGAAGATCACTCACTTACTTAAGAAGAATAGACTAGATGCCGTATTACTTCAAATTGCAAAGTCTAATACAAAAGGAGTACTTGATTATGAGTTAATGACTCCAGAGGTAGTCAATGCCATATTTGATAAGTGGTATTTTGAAGTGTTCTATACTTTTAATGAACAATGGAAAAACGCTAAATGTGATATAATGGAATTCAATCAGTTTATTCAGAGAATTATAGAAAAAGATTTCTTGCAGAATTGCTAGAGATGGATGCAAGAAGTTATATATAGGATATAAGAAAAATAATCTCAGGCAAGGATAAAGTTTTGAATAAACACTTAAATCAAAAGTAGGTAAAGATCTATTAATTAAAGTTTTTTTATCATAATCCTAAATTTCATAATTCTCGTCTTAATTTTGATTGATGGGGTTTTGGGGTTTTGGGGTTTTGGGG